ATAAAATGTCAAAATTTGGTTGAAATAATGTTACATTGTCATTCAGTGTAACACAGTATTTATGTAAAAATTCAAACAACATTTATTCTGACATGTACATATTAAAATATATAAAAGAATAAGGGAGCATATTAAATTTTATTGTGTTTTAAATGAGTAAAAAATTCTTACTGACAAATAGGCAAAACCTAGGATAGTGGTAAATTGAAAAAATGTTAAATTACAACTAATTAGTATTTGGGGTGAAAATAATTAGTCTTTTAATATGTCATAAATAGAGTTTTGTTGTAAATATTCCCGACAAGATTGTTACACTGAATGACATTTTAGTGGGTGTCTTCTGTAAATCAGGGGAAAATGTATGATATTTTTTTTTTGCTCAGAAAAACAAAAACAAAATTGCAATTAAATTAAACAGAAAACTTTTTAATTTGGGGGGAAACAACAATTTAAAGCAGTGTTACACTTATTGTTTTTATGCTTAAACCCTTTTCCGTCTTTGACCCATATATGTTTTCAGCTGTTTTTAGGAATAAAACTTATTATAAAACCAGGCGAATGTTATATGAACAAACCCCTCAGTAAAAACCTTCAGAATATAGAGAGGAATCAAGTTTAGGTGTATGCAAGTGCTGCTGAAGTGGAGAAACAAACTAATTATGAGAAAATGGCCTAAAATTAAGAGGCGCAAATAGATAAAGTGTAAAAATAAAACCAGGTGAATGTTATATGAACAAACCCTTCAGTAAAAACCTTCAGAATATAGAGAGGAATCAAACTCTAAGTTTAAGTGTATGCAAGTGCTGCTGAAGTGGAGAAACAATCTCACAAGCTTTAAAAATATGCATTTTCGCCATGTTTTTAGGAATAAAATGCTGTATAAATGAGTGTGAATGTTATATGAACAAACCCCTCAGTAAAAACCTTCAGAATATAGAGAGGAACAAAACTCTAAGTTTTGGTGTGTGTAAGTGCTGCTGAAGTGGAGGAAAAACTTTTTAAGATATATACTTTAATTGAAATCTATAGAAAAATAGTGCGATAAACATACAAAAATTGTATTTTGTGTTTTCTTTCCACTAGTCTGAAAAAAAGCCATGTTATCCAGCAAAACGAGTGGTTTGTACAGCTAAAAATAGCTGGAAGCTAGACCCATAAAATTTACAAATGTCCGCTCCCATTTTTTAACGTGAAGAATGAGGTGGATAGAAGCAAAATAGAGCTTTAAACTGACCAGGTTTTTGCTTGTAGTGTCTTGCCTTCAGATTTAATGCGTCATTTCACTGACACTCTGCCTCCAGCTTTATTAATAAAAAATACAGTTTGCTTTCTCTTGATTTTGATTTGAAATATGACTGGCTCATGTGGGATCCATAGCTGTATTTTTGAGAACTAATAAGGTGAATTGTTTTTTTATAGCCATATTGTTTTGTTTAATTAGATCAGCGGGTCGTTTTAAGTGTGACTCCGTTTCATAGTGAGGAGTGTTGGATGAGTTCATTCAGTTTTGTTTTGGACGTGTTGGGGGTTTGCTGCGAGTCTGTCAGACAAGAACACATCGGTGATCCATTGTTTGTGTGATGATGAATAATCATGTTCTCTGCGGTTATCTTGCCTTACTCGATGAAGTTTCATTCTTCAAGCTCTGATCATGAGACGTAGGGCTCAAACTTTCTTTGGCAGCTGCTCATTACCACTAGCTCTTAAATCAGTGCTTTACTTCCAGGAGCTTGTTTTGCATGTGTAGGTGCACATATGGATTACATATTCCATGTGCTGATTTTAAGCATTAGATACAGGAGGGGTGTTTTTGTGATTCACACGCATGTGCTTTTATACAGTACAGTTGAGAGTAGAAACGGCATGTGTTTTAGGATATAGGTCTGTTTTCTAGGAAAGCTTGTTTCCACAATGGAATAAAAAAAATAGTTTTTTTTAATTCTGAGAAAAAAGTCTTGTTGTTGACTTCGAAATCAGACTTGTCTTAGAATTGCGATATGTTAAGTCAGAGCTGTGAGATGAAAATTTAGAATTGCAGTGTTAACTCGCAATTTAGAGTTTATAACCTGCAATAGAGATATAAACTCGCAGAAGAAAAGTCTGAATTGCAAGATTTTAACTTGCCGTTCTAAGAAGAAACGTATGAATTGTAATCGTGAGACATTAACTTGGAATTCTTAGAAAAGTCCGAATTCAGAAATTGTGAGTTGAGTTGCAGTTTAGAGTTTATAACTCGCATTAACTCACTTTTCTATAAAGAAATGTCTGAATTGTGAGATGTTTATAATGTTTCAGTAAAGATAGAAAATATCGCGCAAGTCTTAATTTGCAATTCTGATATGAAAAGTCAAAAATTGTAAGATAAAAAGTTGCAATTACCTTTTTATTTCTTGACTCCACGGCTTCTATAGTTTTCATGTGTTGGTGTTTCCTAACACTCATTACCTTGTGTTAATGGCAGTCCAAGCTGTTTTTGTAAAAACAAACACTTTTGTAAGCCAGCAGTTTTGATGAAGCTTTCCACGTGTGTTGCTGTCTGGTCTCTTCTGTTTACTGCAGATTTGATTCAGAGCACATTAAACATCATGAAGCAGCATAAATCATGTTTGTGAATCATTTCAAAGCTGCTAAAGACGAGCCTCTTATTCTGAACTATAATCTACTAAAACAATCAATCCATCGTCTGATTCTGGCTGAAGTGTTGCTCTTATTACTGATATTTGTTATTCCTGTCTTTTGTAAGTAAAATAATAATAATATGCCGTTTTGTGTATGAAGATGTATTTTTCTTTGCTGTTCATTAGATAATCCTCACATTTACGGTTGTGAGTACGGACGGATAGACCGCTCAGTCCTGTTCATCGGTGTGCTTTTACATTAATCCAGCATTATATTGATTTACAATCATCAGTAATACATACTGGATCTGAATAAACATTTCTCAGCTGTGCCTAAATGTTCACATTGTTCGTTTACTGATTCTTTGTTTTTTTTTTACATTGTATTTTTAATTTGAGCTTTTTTTTTTATTTCCCACTCTTTAATTTTTAAGACTGAATAATACACTGTCCAATGTTTTCATTTATGTCATAAAGTTATTAAAATAATTGTAATTGTCAAATGTGTCCCTGAATCTGCTCGGCACCATTCTGTGTCCGTGTCAACACAAATAAAATACAAATATATGTGAACATAATACAAATATAAATCAAATCAAGTGCTTGCTTGTAAAACTAAAAACTTCTTACTAAATAAAATGCACGTTAAATATTTTAAAAAGGCAAGGAAACATTTCTGATTTTCTTTTCATTTTAACTTGATGTTCAAAAATAAACTAAAATTGTATAAGCATATTTAAAAACTAATTTAGTTGATTTTTTATTTAAAAAATTTAAAAAACATCTAAATATAAAAAATAAAACTAAAAACTTAATATTAAAATAAATTTGGTAACATCTTACTGTAAATTAAAAAAATTATATTTAAGAAAAATATTATTGTAATATAATTGTGTTTTTATGTGTGTGTTTTCAGTGTGATTATATTGTTTTCTGGTTCACAAAAAAAAAGTAAAAAATAGTTGTTCTTCAAAAAGACTCGGTTCAAAAGAATCAGGCATCGTGAGTGCCAGGCATCATTAGCCGCCGCTAATGATTCGCGTTCTTCTGAACCGATTCTTTTAACGATTCGCTCAACCGATTCACAAAGCGCATCGCTCAATGAAAAGCAGGCTAAATTGTGGCATTATACTGACGCCATACTAAATTACCATAACACTAATCAACACTGAGAGTCTCTTCTCCGCCCAGAAGTGCATTCCTCCTCGCGCGACCCGGAAGTGCTCTCCATCTGTCTTTGTGTTTGTGTTTGTGTTTAGCTCCGCGGCTCTCTGCCGAACACCGGCGGCTCCAGAACACCGCGATGAAGGTAAACCGAGCTGATAACGACGAGTGTGTGATATAAACACCATGCGTGAGTGTCTGAGAGCGAGCAGAACGAGGGAGATTCGAGCTCCAGCTAACGGTGGCTAATGCTAAGCTCATTAATGTCAAAGGCTTCATTAGTAATAATAGCAGACCTCTCGTTGATAAATAGCACGGGTTGAGGTTTATTAGTTTGTCAGAGCCTTGTTAACTTAGTTTCTGAACGGCTCATTAATATTCATGAGTTTATCGCTTGATATTCATTAACATGTGACTTTGTTAATATGGGTTTATTCAGCACACGTCGATCTTTTTCGTGTTATTTGACCGTCACTGCGTGTTTTGAGCGATGTGCTCATTAGTATGTTAATGTATTCGTGACGTCATGACGTCGCGTCTGTGACGCGTGAGAGCTGCTGATGGACAGAAGCTTGTCTCTCTGACCACTGCGTCTGTTTATCATCAGTAATATATGGCTGATGTTATTCATATTCATGTGTTCTCTCTGGTGTGGACAGGTTACATTCGGCTGAATCCATGCTTTCTGATGAACTTGACTCCAAACCTGAGGTATTAATGATTTACTGCTGTTTTAATCACTTATTCTGATTTGTTATATTAGGGCTGCACGGTTTAGGGATAAATTGCATGCCATTTTTCCTGATAAAACTTGTAATTGCAATTTAATTATTATTATTTGTTTTTTTTTAATTCTAGGTTGTCGGTATTCACATATTGGCTGTTTATATATAAATATGCATATAAAATAATGCTACTATTATTATTATTATTATTACTAAAATCGATTTGTTTTTTGTAGAGGACATTTAAAAACAACTGAGGTTGACTTTACAGTGACTAAAAGAATCGATTAAAAAGAAATATTTTTATTTTGCAACAATAATAATAATAATTATTATTACTTAATAAAAATATAAAAATTGTACTAGTAATTAACAAGGGAAAAGTCTTCTGTTATTTAGCATATATCTAATTTTTTACATTTTTCTTTTCTTTTACACGAACAGAACCTGATGCTCATGCCGGGGTTATTATAGTTAACTAATACTGTTTTTTAAAAAAATTGGTAATAAATAAAATTTTAGCTTTAAACGAAATAAATGTAATATTAAAACAAAAAAAACTTTAACTGAAGTTAAGATGAAAACAGGAAATATGCCAATTTTAAATTCACCTACATTTGGTAATATTTTACTATAAATACAAAAAGAGTTTTTAAAATATAGTAACAATAATTGTTTTACAGTACAGCTGTAAACTTTATTAATTTTAATTTCATCATTTTCGAGCATTAGACCATCAAACTCTCTTTTGTTGGTAATCGTGCAGCCATGATTTATATGCAGTGTTGTGTTTTGACACTATAATAATCATCATACAACAATAAGATGTAATATGCATTATGAATATTTCAATAATCGTCATCAGAACTTGGCTCAGGTTTAACCGTGGTACTCATTTCTTTCTGGAGGATGCATGACTGATATACGTTGAACAGTGTGTTATTTTATTGTAGTGTGGTTGTTGGGTGCTGTTCCAGATGGGAATGAATATTGGTAAACCTGTCTCTGAATGCTGGTTTCTCATGGTTTTATCAATGTGTGTTTGTGTGTCCGTGTGTCTGTCCGTGTGTGTGTGTCTGTCCGTGTGTCTGTGTCCGTGTGTCTGTCCGTGTGTGTGTCTGTCCGTGTGTGTGTGTCTCTCTGTCCGTGTGTCTGTGTGTCTGTCCGTGTCCGTGTGTCTGTCTGTGTGTCTGTCTGTGTGTCTGTCTGTGTGTCTGTCTGTGTGTCTGTCTGTGTGTCTGTCTGTGTGTCTGTCTGTGTGTCTGTCTGTGTGTCTGTCCGTGTGTCCGTGTGTCTGTGTCTGTGTGTCTGTGTGTCTGTCCGTGTGTGTGTGTCTGTCCGTGTGTCTGTGTCCGTGTGTCTGTCCGTGTGTGTGTCTGTCCGTGTGTGTGTGTCTCTCTGTCCGTGTGTCTGTGTGTCTGTCCGTGTCCGTGTGTCTGTCTGTGTGTCTGTCTGTGTGTCTGTCTGTGTGTCTGTCCGTGTGTCCGTGTGTCTGTGTCTGTGTGTCTGTGTGTCTGTCCGTGTGTGTGTGTGTGTGTGTCTGTCTGTCCGTGTGTGTCTGTCTGTCCGTGTGTGTCTGTCTGTCCGTGTGTGTCTGTGTGTGCGTGTGTGTGTGTCCGCGT